AGTGGAGATTTTGTGCGGTAATGATGGCACATAAGACATTGAAAAGTCTGGAAAATTTCCGCTTCCGAACCCTACAAATAAACCCTTTTCCGTTAATTACTGCTTGAGATATTGCGCAAAGAAATTCTCAAAACGCAGCGTTTTTTTCATTTCCGGGTATAATTGCCCGAAATCGGGTCTTCGAGTCCAAATTCTTGTAGCTTTCAACTCTCCTCACTCCTCATACTCCCCTCCCGCTTGATCGGAGGAAACGAAACGCGTTCTTGCTGAAAAACGCATTGCGGAGTCGTTTTAACGGAAGGATCCGAAATTAAATCATTTCAGAACACGAATGTCAATTCCAACTGTATAATGAGATATATCGCATTGCAAAACCAGTGAAATTTCCGTTTCCGCACCCTGCAATTGAACCTTTTTCAGTGAAATACTTCTGGAGATATTATAGAACCGGTTTCCAAAAAACGCAACGTTTTTTTCTATTTGCGGAACAATTCGATCAACAATGGGTCCGAGTTGTCATATTGAGTTGACCAATCTCATCTACAATGTAACCTCCCGAAACGCGTCCATGGAAAAATGAGCTCCTGTCGAAAAAAAAAACGCACCGCAGTTACCCTGTATTTGCGGAACGATTCAACGAAAATGAATCGTCATGTCGACATTTTCTGCCCAAATTCTCCTGGCTATCCACCCCCTTCCGCAATATCCATTCTCATTTCTCATGTAGTCTCTTCGAAATCCGTCCACGAAAATCCGCATTGCGGAAAAAAGTGAATCTCAGAGTACTTTCAGCGCTGGGATCCGTTTGCGTCGGATTCCGACGCGGACGGATTCGCTCCGCCAATTAGTTCGTGAGACATTCCAAACCGCAAGGAGATTCCGCAATGAATGCAACGCAGGTTTGACGCAACGCGTGGAATTGTCAAAACATCCGAAAAACAGTTGACCAACTGCAAGCGCTGCGCCAAGCCTGCGTTACGTTCATTGCAGAATCTCTTCAATTCTCAAAACGTTACGTTTTTAGACTGCACCTGCGTCAAACATGAGTCGTCATGTCTAGTTTTTCCGCGCGAATCTCCCGGACTATCTCTTCCTCCTGCAGTATCCAGTCTCATCCACAATCTAATCTCCCGACATCCACCGCCCGCAATCCGCGTTGCGGAAAGAAACAGACGGCATAATCCCCTCAGCATCAGAATCCGTTTCCATCGGTGCTAATGAAAATTCCGGGGATCCCTGCGTTCAAACTGAACAACAAAACCCTTCTTCAACCATTTCCAAAAAATCTCAAAACCGTTCCTCAAAACGCTGCGTTTTTCTGCTGCACCTGCGGAGCCTGATGTTGAGCTTTTCCGCTCAAATTCCCCCGACCACTCACTCCCTCCCACGACCTCACTTCTCATCCCCAATCTAAAGGAGATTTTACTGTGAACGCAGCGCAGGCTTGACGCAACGCGTGCAATTGTCGAAATAATCGAAAAGCAGTTGAATGATTGACTCAAGCAACTGCAGGCGTCGCGTTAATGCTGCGTTTTGCTTCATTGTAGAATCTCCTTAACCTCCCGAAATCCGCCCACCGAATTTCGCGTTCCTGCCGAAAAAAACGGACCGCAGAGTCCCGTTAGCGTCAGGATCCGTCTGTCCTCCAGTAGCCGCGGAGAAAAAAAAATGCGGACAAACGTCAGACCACAAGAGAATCAAGCTCGGACATCCGGGTGCCTTCCAGCGGGGGCTTGGAGACCCTCATTGTTGTGAGTCTGCGTGGCATTTACCGCGCGTCCTCCTCCTCCTTTGTCTCTTTCACTCCTCGACTTAACCTACACGGCATTAGTTCAGCATGGTGCGTTACAACGCCGGGTGCCGGCGGGTGGGGGGCTAAATCGGTCTTGGTCTTGGTCTGGAGTCAACCGCGTTGCGCAATCATCTGCGGGTAGAGGTGATCTAGGCTCGGAGCTAAAAGTTAACTTATACGAGCTCTCGGGAGTTGGGTTGCCCATAGCGCGAATTTATAAGCTGACTAACGTGCGTTCCCACGGCGCGCACCGATACCTCCGCTGTATGCGAGTCTGGTCCACGGCCTAATGCCCGCCTTGGCTTTATTTACACCCATTTTTCCCTCTCTCTCGCTCTGTTTCATTTTCAATGGGCATTTTTCGCTGCGTCTCGCTCGGCCGCTTATGCATTCGCGACGGCGCACGCGCGCCCAGCGGTTTTAAAACGCGCATAAAATATGGAGCGAGAATTGCTAACCCAAATGTCCGAGTTGCAACTGCAATTTCAAGTGCCCGGAGGTTTTTTTTCAGGCACGAAAAATTTTTGTGGAAAAAACGAATAGCGAATTCGCGGGAAAAGTCTGTTAAAAAAATTCTGTGGGATATTTGCATTGTGTTCTTGATAGTTCAATGATAATAAACTTATTCTGTTGAGATATTTTCTATAGAGAAATCCTTCGACTTGAATTTTTCAATTTTTTTTATTTTGGTTTTTGAAAAGAGAAGGAAAATGGAGTGGAATACATCTAGAATACGTCTCAATAGAAAAAGGTGAAAGATGAAATTCTACTGATTATTTTTACAAAATAATTTCTATTGGACGTTTTTTTTTTTTAAATGATATTATTCCGGAATTTAAACCGCAGATTTTGCTTTCTCTAAAGAAAATATATTTAATATTCCACCCGATTTTTCTATTTTTTTTTGTTCCAAATTTTTCACATTTCTCAGGGAGTGAAAGATAAATTGAAGTTGATAAGAGCTGCCGCTGGGATTAAATGCATCTATGTCAATGATTTATTCAGATTCCAAACGCTGGAATGCAGGTTTTTGGATTTTTAATGCTCGAATAGTAAACGAGCAATGGTAATGAATATGAAATTTCCTCTCAAACTTTACGCCCATGTGCTCACACAGCGTATCTGTATTCTTCAATGACAAAATTTCAGTTGAACTCCCACTTGATGAAAATTTCCAAAGATTGAACCGGAAATTCTAGTGACAAAATTTTTAACAGTGGATCCCCCTGAAAAACCTTGTATAAAAAATATATCCCCATGAATTTTAGAAAATTGAAGACTATCTTTACCTGAATTTTTCTGAGAAACAATTTATTTTCGCCAATTAAATTTATTTCTGCCAAACAATTTGTTTGAAGCAACAATTCAGATGGAGATTTTATGTGGAAATTCTGGGCATTTGGTTATCTCGAGCATATTTGTCAGGCATAAATAATTTTCTTTTATCAGCAAAATAACTGACTCGTACAGTTTTTATAGATTTTTCCGTCAAATTCTGAATTTTCAGTGAAGAACTCCCACTTGATAAAAATCTCCATAGATTGTCTCGAAAATTCTAGTTAAAAATCTTCACCAGAGCACCTCGGCCCATCTCAAGGCCCTTCCGCGCAACTCCTCAAAATCTCCATAAAAAACATCTCATGAATTCCATCTCTGCTCATTACTGAGATAACAACCATCTAAACCGAACACGACTGCTATCAGCCCAAACCGTTACGACACCTCTCCTCCCAAAGTGTCTCTCCAAATTTTGACCCATAAAAATCCGACCCACTGCATCAAAAAGGCCCGAAGAATCCGGCCCTAAACCATTCCAATAAACTCCCAATTCACAACTCCGTAAACCCACAAAAATCTATAAATATCCCAGAATAAACTCCCCACCCAAGCTTCAAAAATAGAAAACCCAGTGTCGAAACTAGACTTCAATCCATCAAGGACCCAACAATTACCCGAAATGACGTCGTAAAAAAAGGAATTCCAAGCCGATAAAATTTATCTACAAGATTGAATAATACTACGTGTAAAAAACCGAATAAAAGAAACAAGTACAGCCTCGGTCTGTCTGTTCTGTAGGACAGTGTGCCCAATAACGGGTTACCCCCGAGGAGAGATTATATTCCAAAACCGGTCTTTTCATTTTTTCTCCTCCTCTCCCCCCCCCCCGCCCCATCTACTTCACATCGATTGGATATAGAAAACATATACCTGAGGATATATCCTGTATCCACATGGGGTTCAGCTATGATGCTTGAATCTCGAATAAATCTTGAAGGCACAACAACGCCGAGATACGTTACATTTTGCGTCTACGGTATCGAATATTAGAGCTCCGGTCTAATTTTCAAAGAGACGAAAACCTTATTGAAGTCAAACAGAAATTAAAACAGAAGAAATATCAAGACTTCAAAACATTCTCCGTTTAAGACATTTTCCTAGATTCTCAAGGTGAAGGCTAAATTGTCGCAAGACAATAAGTCGAGGTTCAGATGATCCTCCACACCCCCGAAACAACCCCAAATAACCAAACATCACGATAATCGGTGGATCGTAACTGTAAACCCAACACTAAATTAATCAGAAAGTTGAAAGAACCTTCCTGATTCATTGCAATCTCGAATAAATCTTGAAGGCACAACAACGCCGAGATACATTTTTTTGTGCGTCTGCGGTATCGAATATTGAATCTCCGGTCTAATTTTCAAAGCGACGAAAACGTTATTGAAGTCAAACGGAAATTAAAACAAGACAAATATCAAGACTCCAAGACATTTTCCTAGACCCTCAAGGTGAAGGACAAATTGTCGCAGGACAATAAGTCGAGGTTATGATAACAATCCTCAACTCCTCCAAAACAACCCCAGAAAACCAAACATCACGCTAATCACTACATCGTAACTGTACACGCAACACTAAATTAATCAGAAAGCTAAAAGAACTTTACTGATTCATTGCAGGTGCACCTGTTGAGCCACCCACCCGAAGTAAACCGCATCGAGTCCCAAGAATGCCGTGGCTGATCGGGCGAGAAGATTCTCGACACGCTTGAGGTAGCCAGGAGGTTCCCACCCCTGGATGCAACCAGATCGCAAAGCATCCTCCAAAAATCGTCTTCCACCTCGAAGCCTTCGCTAGCCTTCGAATTCCAGCAAGACCGAACGAACCCATCCACCCACCTCCTTCCGCCCTGAAGTGCACTGGCGCAAGTGGTATGGACCTGACGGAGACGTTTCCGGCGGGTGGTGTTCCCGGTGATGACCTAGGTAAGACAGACTACTTCGACTTCGTGGTGTCCCCCCCGCCGCACTGCGGCTCAACGGGCGGTGTCTCCGACGAGGACAGCTACTTGCACCGAACCACCTGCCGAGGTATGAGTTACCTGCAGGACACCCGTCACGATGACCATGACACTCACACATCATCCTTCATCAAAGAAACCAACAACAACACCTTAACAGCATTACCCCCCGCCTCAACGTTAATAGGAGCGATGAACCATCATGGCGTCCGCAACCACTGCGTCAGCACAGAAGTCCCGATGGACCAATCCGACTGTGACTACTGGAACACTGACGACAGTAAAGAGCAGACAGCCAGCATATTCCTGGAAGACCTGAACAAATTCTGCTGGTCGACAGAAGCCACACCGACGAGTCACTCGGACGTCCAAACCAACGACAACTCTCACCGCATCACAACTGCCAACGACCGACAGAATACAGACGGCGCCATTTACACGTTAACTGTATTAAACAATGAGAATTCGATAGACGCCCTGGACTGCTGCAAGAGTCCAACAGCCCCATCAACAGACTCCTGGTCGCTCCGGCCAAACCTCGACCTCGATGCAATCCTCAGTCTGGAGCCAAGCCCCAGCGATCAGGACCACGACGTCCAGAACTCAGTCGATCAAACCAGAAATACTGAGAGGTACCACGTGATAGCGACGCCATCGTCGCAGTACGCTGAAGACAGTGGCTTCGTCGAGAGCAAGGAGTTGTGCAGACAGTCGAATCCTTCAGGGGACAACAACAACGACTGGAAGCTGTCTGACCAGAACCAGCTGCAGGAAGCCGTGGCAGCAGCAGCTGCTGACAACGCCGAGAGCCTCCTGAGGAGTGCCCTCACGGGGAAGATCTACACAGGATCCCCCCAGATACCCTCACCCTCTCCGTCCCAAGGATCCACGATCTCCTTATCAGTCTCGAGTAACGCCAGTGGTGGTCTCCAGATTCTCGAGCACCAGGGCCAAGGACAGTCCCAACAGACACCCCAGGAGTCTCAGAACGAGGCAATGCATGCCTGCACGGATGACGATCTCCTGTTATCGCAGCTGGCGAGTGCCCCATTCAGACCCGGTGAATACGAGAAACTGAAGAGCATCGAGAACGAGGTGGTGGAGTCCTACTGCAGCTTGGAGCCCGTCTGCAACGTATCCTCAGCGCCAACAGTCCTCTACACATTAGACCCTCAAAGTGGCAGCTTGGGAACGATAACGTTGCCTGCTGATTTGGGAACGGTTACGGTGGTGGCAGCCCAACAGGATCTGCTACCACAGACAACAACGAGAACCGAGGAGACCCAGCCCACCAGTAATCAGATACAAATAGCACCGGCAAGGTCCAGTACAAAGGCGCCCAAGAAGTATTGCAGAAGGTCAAACAAGAACAGTGCCAACAGCAACGGCTCCTCCGGCAATGCTTCTGGCAATGGTAACAGTGGACAGGGCAATGGTTCAGGATCACCAAGCTCGGTTCAACGAAAGGAAAGGTCACTCCACTACTGCAGTATCTGCAGTAAAGGCTTCAAGGATAAGTACAGTGTCAATGTTCACATCAGGACGCACACTGGGGAGAAACCTTTTGCCTGCAACATGTGTGGAAAGAGCTTCAGGCAGAAGGCACATCTTGCTAAGCACTATCAGACACACATGGCGGCTAATAAAACTAACGTTGGAAATGGAAATAGCAGCAGCAACAGCAACTCAAGCCCCTCCGACACATCGCGAGGAAATCACAGTGCTGATTCAGCCGTTTGTAATCCGTCGAGTTAGTTTAGCTGTTTTTATTTTTTTTTAATTGATGTTTTTTTTTGTTGGAACCCTGAAACAATTCTGATACGGTTGCTAAAGGGAGTTTCTCGTGTGATAAATCCGGTGTTTAAGCCGTGTACAAAGAGCTCTCTATTTTTTTTTCTATCTTCTCTTTTTTATCGCTGTTACATTCACGAATTGTCTTTTATCATGGAGAAAACATTTGGGGTATCGATCAGTGCCCGATCGTGTGGTGAACCGATTTGCTGGATTGGACACGTGTTAGGTGAGGCTTGCGGGGAGGGGGTAAAAGGGGTCGTAGGGACTGGATGGTGCAACACGAAGGGGCCGTGACTAACGATCGTACGTGGAGAATTCAATGCTTCTCGAGGAGAACGGTACTTGCGGGAGACGGAGGGGTGGTGGGAAGGTGATCCTCTTGTGGCTGATCTTCCGATTGGCTTTTTCGAGGCAATTCCCGATTTATGGGAGTGATGGGTGATCTAGATGAACTACGAGTTTCAGACCTTTGCGATGAACGTTGGGTTTGGGAGGGTTCGAGGCAGTAGCGGCGTGGTAAATCGGTTCAACTCGACTTATCTCTTAATTGAGTTTTTGAAGAATATCTTCGGATCTAAAGGAGATAGTGAAATTGTCGTAATAACCTTTTTTCTAGAGCAAATTGAAGGTTACAAAAAAGGTCTTGACACAAATTTAACTGTCTCCCTTAGATTCCGAGATAAACACTCAAAATGGCCAATTGTTAAATCGACTTAAACTGTTTTATCACTTCGCTACTGAATGGAAAGAGGATTAGCTCTCGGGGAATCGGAGGTCGAGGGGAATGGAATGAGTCGGTTTGAGATGAGGACGAGTTTTTGGTGAATTTCGGAAGGTGCGGTTTTAAGGATGTCCAAGTACTGCATTCAAGTGAGCAACTTTTTTTCAAGTAATATTTGACTTTTGACGAAAATTCATTGTTGAATACGTTTTTTCGGGAATTTACTCACTGAATATTGTGAATAATGTTTTATGCAATTTGACACTTGACTCTCGTTGGTCTGACCTCTAATGATCGTACGGCAACACTGCACATGCGTTCCTTATAACTTCATAAATTCAGTCTGAGTAGACACTTGAGCGAACCGCTGCCAGACGTCAGGACTTTTCTTGAAATTTCAGATGTTGTGAGGTGGAATTGATTTCCAAATGAAAGCGCTCACTAAATTTCTCAATCATTTTAACAATTCAAGAAAATTGGGTTTTTGATGTTAAACAATCATTGATTTTTCAATGAAAGCTCGAATTGGTAAACTCTTCGGGAAAATTGAGCAGCACATATAATTCAATTTTCAATAGATTGAGAATCCAGAAAAGTTATTGTCCGGATTTTCAAAATTTTCAAGATTTTTTCGTGGCGTATGGGCCTGAAGATCGAGAGCTACTTGAATATTCACGAAATTAACTGATTCGTCAATGCAAAAAACAGTGCAATATGGCGGTCGTACTAATCAAGAAGCTTTTAATTTGATTGTTTGCAATTATCGGTCCAGAAACTTACGAAACTATGATGGATGACTAGATCAGAAATGAAATCTAGCTTCACAACGATTTTTTTATCGAGCAAAGATCTCCTAATAAATAGTTCTTTGCAACAAAGGTATTAAAAAAGACCTTTCCACCTCCAGCATTCCGAGAAATTCTCCAAAACCAGACCCTCAAAATGAACGATATACATATGTCGAATATTTCCAATTTCACTACTGGTAACTTTCAACGCCTGAGGTATTAAAAAACGCCACGAGTGTATTCAAAATTTGATATATTCAAATGCATTTGAGAATGGTTTTAAGACTCGAGCCTTAATCTAACTGCTATCCGTTACTCTTCAAGAATTATCATAAAAGTATTAACGACATGAACGAAAAATCGGAGTGCATTTGTAAAGCGCCCGATGGGGATTAGAAAAATTATTTATAGTTAATTATACGAATTCCTCAATCCGTCCATGACAGCTGTGAAAATGTCACGGCCAATTGGCGCTCAAATGTGATGCTTACGAAACAAAGTTCTAATTCAGAGTGATTGCAACCGACGGAAATTGGGATAATGGAGATAAAGGGATTTCGATAGATATGTTGTGTTCTGCTCGGTTACATGATGTGTGGTATTTATTTTCGAGCTGGGACCTTCAGTCACACGAAATGTTGCCCTGTAGCGGTGAGATCGTTATGTGCGGCTGATTTTATAATAAATGGAGGAAAGGGAACGAGTCGAGCCGCGCTTGTCCCGCCGGGTATTCCGTACACACGTATTTTATCGTATTATTTATTTATCGAGACCAGACTTTTTTTTCATTTGGTCGTACCGTCAGATCTAGGCAGAATGCTATCCGAATTCATAATTCAGGACTTTTTTGTCTAAAAGTCGGTAAATGAGGCGGATAGAACATTTTTTGGGTACACTGTTGAAATAAATTGACGGAATTTTCGGGAAAAAGACGTTGAGTTCGATTTAAGAGGAAAAAGTCAAGGGAATTTCAAGTTTCTTTGAAAATTCAAGCAAAGTCCCATTTTTTTGCGGTAGGAAGACGAAAATTTCAAATTTATATGAGTTTTTAAATGAGAATGAATATTAAGTGCCAAATTTTCTTGAATGCCCTGAAAATTCAGAGAGATTTCTCTGAATTTTTCTGTTTTTTCATTAATTTTCCCGGAATAATTCAACTGAAATTTACTTTTCTCACGGATTTTTAAATGAAATTATGACGTTTCAATGACAAAATCCATTGAAATTTTAGGGGAAATGTTACTTCTTAGAAATTTCCAAGACTCTTAACGGAAATTTCAGTAAAAAATTTTGAACAGTGTAGTTTGTTGCAGAGAAAAAGCAATTGAATTGATTTGTGTTTCAAATTTATCGAGTGTTTCCCTTAAATCTCCGGTACGCTTCTTGGAAACTTTTGTGAAGTGACAAGTCTGGCTGAATTTTAAAGGGATTTCAGTACTCGGACTTTACAATTTGACGAAACTGGAAATTTTAATTGAATTATTCTGTGAAAATTTGATAGGAATGCTTGAATTTTCACTTAATTAACCATTCAGCGTAATTTGGTACTGAATATTCATGTTTTTATTAAATGTTCAAGTAAGTCGGGGAGTTCTCGCCGTGTATGTTACACAAAAATTTGGATTTCCATTGAATTTTTAGTGAAATACAAAATTTCATGATTTTTCACTCTAGATTAAATTCAATGTTGCTCTCCTGAAAATTACTATGAACTACGGAATTCCTTTTTTTGTAAATTTCTCCTGTCACATCCTAGAAAATTTCAAGAATTTATATTTCCGCAGAAAATCCAAGAAATCTTGTAATTGAAAAATCACATGTTTCATCGATTTTCATATGATTTGTTGGGAAATTCAGTGGAAACTAAAAGTCTCAATTCAGCTATTCAGCGAAAATCAGGAAAAATTCAGGACTATATTCCAGAATTTCACGTTAATTGACAATTGACCCAAAAAGAAAACGATTTCTATTACCAGTTCAAGAAATATTACGCAAACATTTCGATTTAAAAATTTGTCAGAATTTTCTGAATCAATCTTATCTCATTATTTGAAATAGTAGTTTTTTCTTTTTGATGAATCATTCGGGCTCGAATAACAACAATATTTAGGGAATGATTGAGAACGATTGGAAAAGGTTAAGAAATTTCGTAACAATTCTCAAGGCACAAAAACATCAATCTTATATGCCAAACATGTGATTGACTTAATCACTGAGAAAAAAAAAAAAAAATTCTGACTTCATATATTTATTGGGATAATAGAATAGAATAGGCACTATCATTTCAGTTTTTCCGTTGGACAGAAGGAAATCCAAGTACTTTGGCTATTTTTTCTCCAGTGAAATGCTTTTCTACTTTTGCAGCTGAATATCAGAGATTTCATTTGAGCCCCAGTTGATCCTAAATTTCCGGACAATTTACAATGATTTTATTATTTAAACTATACAAGTCTGAGACATTTAAAAAATCGGAAAAAAATTAGAAATTTTACTTTTGGACAAAGATTGACGAAATAAAAAAAATTGCAATTTTCGAAAATTACAGGCATTTTCTATAAATAATTTATAAACAATCAATTTTCCACCATAAAAATTATTTATCAGAAGTCGATTTCGAAGACTTAAACCCGTTCAAGTATTTATTTATAAACAACGAATATATAAAAAATAATTCTGTGCAAAATTTAATTTGAATGACGTTGAATAATCATAATTTTTTTCAAATCTTTCTCACGCAATTTGACAATTTGAACAATTTACACTGTCGAATTGACAAATTTGACGATTGAAAATGGTGGAATTGACAGTTTGGTCTCTGCCAAATTGCAGAAGATACTTGAATATTCATAAATATAAAAAAATCCTCCCATAAACGTAAACAACCAAATAAAAATCCATAATAGTTGGTCCCAATTAAAAAAAAAAATGATATATATTTCACTTTACCCACAAGTGACGAAAAATATAATTATTTGAGACATGAAAAGCTTCTAGTGGCATTAACTGGGACATTGACAGTACGTCTCATATTTTTCGACTCCTTTTCAATCACCTATTTATTTCCATGGGAGGCTTCCCCGCTGTGAGCCCGTTAATTACGTATTAATTTAATTGTCGATTTTGTGTGCCCACACACTAGGGGGGATATTGCAGGCGTCTATCGGCCTATTTTATGTTGAACAACGTTGCGAAATGTTTTTAATCTGTGTGATTTGATCTTAGATTTTTAAAGAGCTATTCACGGACGCGTGGACCCGATTTTTATCACTTGCGCAATGGAAGGAAATTGATTTTTTCGGGATTTTCGGAGACTTTGATCGATCGGAGGGAATTAGTGTGGGTTTTCCGTTGCAGAATGTACGCAGGAAAGGGGGAGAGAGATTTATTGGATAGCTGAGAGAATTTGTGATTGAGAATTCGTAAAAAAATGAGTTTTCCAAAAATTCAGTAAA